ATTTTGTTCTCGTATACGCGCGCAATCTCATTAGAAAATCTTTTTTTTTTTTTTTATCCAACTTACAAACATTTTAAAAAAAAAAAAAAAAAGTCAGACATGATTAATAACGTCATTTATTTTAAGATTGAAGAGGAAATTTGCGTCGAAGAAGGGGAAAAAAGAAAGAAAGAAAGGAAAAAAGAGATGAAGAAGAGAAGGAAAAGAAAAAAAAAAGTTTGAAACAAAAAAGGAAAAGGAAAACTTAAATCCGATTCCCGGAAATAAAATGGGGATGGGGGGGGGAAATATAATTTAAAATGAAACGAAGGAAAATGTAAGGAAATATATATTTAAAAAAAAAAAAAAAAAAAACGGATAGACGTGACAATATGGAGACAGAAAAAGAGAGAGAGAGAGAAAAGAAAAATGGATGACGACGATGACTGTAAAAGAAGAAAAGAGAGAGAGAGAGAAAAAAAAACTTTCAGAGTAATTAAATTCAAAATCAAAAATACAAAAAAAAAAAAATTTTTTTTTTTTTCATTCACCGCCTGCTCGAAAAAGAAAAATCCCTCACCTCACCCCTACCACCCCCACCCTTCCACTTTTTTCAAAAATTTTTTTCCCGCCTTCGATTTCTCGCGTACGTGAGAATCAAACGGGGTAAACGTGTAATTAACTTTGATTAAAAATGGCGTCTCTTCATTGATTTCGAAATAAATTCGAATTGAAAATCTCGAACGAATAATAATCGTGCGAAAACACGCACGCACGCACGCACGCACACGTACGAAAAGACAAAGGATGCGTGCGAGAGAGAGAGAGAGAGAGAGAGATGCGAATCTCACCAATTAAAAACCTTTTAACGTAAAAAAAAAAAAATTTTTCACTTCCGGTATTCGAATTTGAATTTTTTTTTTTTTTAGGTCATTCAAACTCGAACTCGTGTGTGAGGGGAGATGAGGGGGGAAGGAAGGGGAATCCATTAAATTCCAGTTTCCCCCTCCCACTTTTCTCCCCCGCTCTCTCTCTCTCCAGAAAAATCCATTTCTATCAAAACGACGGATTTGTCATTGAAGAATTAATAAGAGTTGAGTCAGTCAGTCAGTCAGTCAGTCAGTTTATCGGAGTTTTTATAATTGATATAGTTTCGTACGGATTAACCTTGCTAAAACCACGTCAAACTTTTAAATTCCGCAATTCAAGTTTTTTTCCCGTCCAGCGGGGGGAAGAGTGGCGGGGAGCCCGGGGGGAGGACGGAAAAAGAGAAAATTATTTTTCTTTATTTTGTTTTTTTCATCTCTCCCTCGTCCTCCCTATGAAATAATCGTTAAGTCTAATCTCTCTTTTATTTTATTTATCTCCTGCCACGTTTTTTTTTTTTTTTGTTTTTTTATAAAAAAAAATTATCAAAAGTCATTAAGAGAAATAACAACAATGTTTTTGTCGTTGATGATGATGATGATGATGATGATGATGATAAAAGCATTGAAAAATTCATCGTGGTCGCAACAAAACGTTCGAAAACATTCTAAAAAATATACAATCGAATCAAATTCTTCTTCTTCTTTTTTGTGAGGGAGGGGGGGTTGAAAATTTCGAGTGGCACATGTGATAAAATTCCTTTGAGAAATGATTAGAAAAGGAAAATGAAAAAAAGGAAAAAAAATTTCCTTTTTTCCTTTTTCTCTCCCTCTTATTCTTCTTCTTCTTTCACTTTCATTTTTTTTTCTTCTTAACTGGGTTATCGATTTCCTCTGAATAATAATAATAATAATAATAATAATAATAATAATAATAATAATTTATTTTAATATTAACAAGGCATTTCGAGTCGCCCTATTTTTTTTTTTTTTATTTTCCTTTGAAATGATTCCTTTTATTATTATCATTATTATTATTTTATTTTTTACTTTTTGAAAAGAAACCACAAAAACAAATTGTAAAGTAATAGAAAGAGAGAGAAAGAGAGAGAGAGAGAGAGATGGCGATAGAAAAAAAAAAAATCGAGTTCATAAAAAAAAAAAATAATAATAATAATTCTTTTCCAGTTCATAAAAAGGAATAAAAAAAAAATTTTTTTCCCAATTTTTTGGGTGAAAACCAATAACATCATTTCCCTCTCCCCCCCCTTTACCCCATCTCCCCCATCTTTTCTTCCTTTTTTTTTTTTTTTTACTATTTTCCCATTGGAAAAAGAAGAAAAAGAAGACCGAAAAAAAAATATTTACCTTTCCATTAACGTTTTCGTTCTTTTTTTGACTTGCACCCCCTCTATGTTCACCCCCCTCCTTCCCCTCCCCGAAAAAAAATCCTCAAGGTTTTATCATTATTATTATTACTAGATTTCTCAACTTTTTCAACCCTACCCGAAAAAACTACTAATTATTTATTTATATATATTTTTTTCTCTTTAAAAAACAAAATTTTTGTTTGAAGGACGAAAACCATGACCGAGATAAACGCACAGGCACACACACGCACGCGCATGTGGAAACAACACACCTGACAGGTTTACACAAAAACCCTCACCCCCCTTCCATTTCCCCTCACCACCGATGCATCCGTGTTACGTAATAACCGGTAACAACGTTTCATAACATTAATTCTCAATTCATAACTTTCCTTTTTTCTCTCTCTCTTTCTCTCTCCCTTCCTACTCCCCCCTACTCGCCTCGGAAAATCGCCGAAAAAAAAAGAATCCCTCGGGATGATATATATATACCTTTGTATCCATAAATTCACGCACACGCACACGCAACTTTTTGGAACGAAGGCAAATAATTCCCACGCATTTAAACAAAAAAAAAAAAACTGGTCACAACCGTAAACGTCATCATTAGAACAAAGGAGGCGATGACCTTTAAGGCACAACCAACGATGATGATGATGATGATGATGATGATGATAATAATAATAATAATAATAATAATAATAATAATAATAATAATAATAATAATAATAATAATAATGAATAACCGCAAAAAATTTTTTACAAGAGAATCAAACCTCGTAAAGAACAACAACAACATTCAACAACGACAACCACGGCTCGTGAACGTGAACGTGAACGGTTTGTACATTCAAATCTAACAAATTAAATTTTAGATACGGCACTGATTTCAAATCATTTTTTGAGAAAAGAAGGTCATCATTGTCGTCGTGATGGTGGTGACCTTTAACTACCATTTTTCCAGTTATTGCTTCCTCTTCCTCCTGGTTTTTTTTTTTAAATTTTCTCCAAGAGTGTTAAGTCATCTTCCCTTTTGGTGATCGATAGGTCAAAGGTCGTAATTATTATATTTTATCTCCGATCGAAACAAAAAAAAAAAAATTTGGACTCGAACTTAAAAAAAGTTTTTCTTTTTTTTTCTTTTTTTCCAGACTCCTGTTTCAACTTGATTATTTTCTACAGTTTTAATTTTTATATCCACTCTCTCCCCCCTTTCTCCTTCCTTTCTCTCTCTTTTTGGAAAAAGATTTGCAAGAGAGAGAGAGAGAAAAGTAAAAACTTTTCAGACTCTTGTTTTTTTTTTTTTTGGACGATGAAAACGACTCATTGAGAACAAACGACATTCAAAACACAATCGTTTGTCTTTCTCCTCCTGCAAACAAACACCCACTCTCTCTATCTCTTTTTTCTTCCAGTTATCCAGACCGCCTCCCCGAATATCCCTCCCCGAATAAAAAAACAATACGCAAAACATATATGTACACATAATTGTCAATAACAATGATGATTATGATGTTGATGATGATGATTGATGATGACGACGACGACGATGATGATGATGACGATGATGATGATGATGCTACTGCTAATGATGCTGCTGCTGCTGATAATGATGATGCTACTGCTGATTATGATAGTGATGATAATGATGCTACTGCTGCTGATGCTGATGCTACTGCTGCTGATGATGATGATGCTACTGCTGCTGATGCTGATGATGATACTACTGCTGATTATGATGATGATACTACTGCTGCTGATGCTGATGATGATACTACTGCTGATTATGATGGTGATGATAATGATGCTACTGCTGCTGATGATGATGATGATACTACTGCTGATTATGATGGTGATGATAATGATGCTACTGCTGATGATGCTACTGCTGCTGATGATGATGCTACTGCTGATGATGATGATGATGCTACTGCTGCTGATGATGGTGACGATGATGATGATGATAATAATAATAATAATAACAATTACGACAATGATGATGATGATACTGACACATTCAAACGACCTCCTCCACGTTCATGTTCATTTTTTTTGTCTTTTTCTAAAATTTTTCTCTCCCGCCACGAATTCAACAGAATTTTACAAATGAAATTATAATAATATTAATATTGATAATAATAATAATAATAATAATAATAGTAGTAGATGAAATAATAATGATGATGATGATGATAATGATTAATGAACATTGTCCAGTTTCCAGTTTTTTTCTTTTTTTTTCCTCATCACGTAATACCTTGATTTTTTTTTTTTTTTTACTACATCGAAACGTACATAGGTATGATTTAATAAAATTGCGTAATAATAATAATAATAATTATTATTATTATTATTATTATGTCAAAATATATATTTCATAATTGGTCGACTTATTCAATTCAATTATTTTGCGTTTTTTTGCATTCGTTCGTGCGTGAGTTTAAATCATTAGGGGGGGGGGGGGAATTCAATTTTTTATGTGTATAAAATGTCGTCGTTACATAATAATAATAATTAAAAAGAGAGAGAGAGAGAGAAAATTCAAATCGAACGGTTGAAAATGTTTTTCCTTTCTTTCTTTCTTTCTTTTTCGCTAACAAACAAACATTTCAATCGATATTAAAAGAAAAAAAGGAAAAAAAGGGAAAAAATTTGTGTGTGTGTGTGTGTGAATAATTTTTAAATAAAATTTTATGTTTTTCTGTTGAATAATCGTATCGATTGAAAAAATTTTTTTCGGGTAATAGTATAGTAATAATGATAATAATAATGAAATAAAACATACCCAAAACAAAACATTAAATCCGAAAATAACATATTTTAAGCAACAGCTGACTTCACTTGTATCCCTTCTATATTTTCTAACTGGCATTTTCCACGCATTTGAAAAAATCACTAAACCACACAAAGCAAATTATTATTATTATTATTACTATTAACTTCGTTTTTTCCTTTTCTTTTTTACTATTATTATTTAACGATTCGAGTTTTATAAAACATTTTATTTAACATAACGAATACACTCACGTTAAAAAACAATAGAACATAACGAAAACAAAAACAAAAACGAAACAAAATTAAAAAAAAAAAATTTATCTTATAATCGTTTGAACGTATATTAACGAATTGAACACTCGACGGCCGTCGCCATTTTTCAACTGACTGATGCAGTCTGACAAATGAAGAAAATTTTTAACTTAAATCAAAACTGCCAACTTATGAAATTAATCCTTTACGACGATCATATTATAAATGATATTTTATTATCAATTATATTTTGTTAAAAATCCACTTTTCATTACTGAATGTCATCGCTATTATTTAACTCTTACACTTATTTATGAATTTTATACTATTTATTCTTTTTAATAATAATTCTCGGTAAAAAATAAAAAAAAAACTTTTAAACGAGTTAAATCATTTGTTTTAGTTCTTGTACTCTATGACAACCTTTATACGCATGCGTTTGAAAAATTATCAAAATGGCGGCTCTCACATCACTTGCAACGTTAAAATCAAAGGTAAATTTCTTTGATTGTATTATTTTAAATGATTTTTACCCCTCGACATTTACATATTTCGATTCTTCGATAATTTATTTATTAAATTTTTTATTTCCGGTCGATCAGTACAACGTAACTCAAAAGTTATTAATAAATTATTTAAATGGGAAACAACAATTACACACAAGTTGTGTTTGTTTTAAATCTGGACAAGTCAAAAGAACATTACGTAAAAACAAACCGATAAATTATGAAAAATCATTAGGAGCACACGATATAGGACACAACAAAGCATGGAATTCATGGAACACTTGTAAGTATTTAATATCCCCCTCCCCTCCCGCCCGATAAAATAACAAATTACAATTTTTTTTTTTTTTTTTTCATGTAAAGCAACATTAGAAGGAGGTTTAAGGGTACCAGAAACTTTACTAGATGACGTATTCATTAGGAAATTCGTTTACGGTACGTTCCCAGGAATGATACATTCTGAAATAATTGTTAAAAGAATTCACAACACAATTCGAATAGCAATGATTATATATCCTAAAATGTCATCGACTAAAATTTTATTTTTAGTCGGATACACAGAAGAACTATTAAGTAATTGGCTTAAATGTATGGTTAAATTAGAATTGCAAGTTATCAAACATCCAGATGAAGTTGTTTTCACACATGTGTAAATAATAACAAGTTCACTAAAACTTATATCGAACATTAAAACAACCCCATCATCATTCATTCGCTCACTCGATATCATAAATGAACTCGTTAAAAAAGAAAAATAGTGTTAATAAATTAAACGAATGAATGAATGATTGAATGAATGAATGTTAACAATAATAATAATGATTTGTTGTAAATTTGTAAAATTAATAATAATAATAATAATAATAATAAAAACTAAACAAACTATTCATCATAATAATTATTATTATACCATTATATTAATTTAAAAAGAAAAAAAAAAAAAATTAAACCGTTTAAATATTTTCACATATCGATATCATCAAATAATAATAATAATAATAATAGTTGTAATTAAATCTAAACATGTTTATTTAAAAAAAAAAAAAAAAAAAAGAAATCTCTAAAATCTATTTTAAAAAAGAAGACAAAAAAAAAATAATAATAATAATAGTTAAAAAGTCATCATCAAACTACCTACACAAATCGATAAAAAAAAAAAAAAATTAAAAATAATTTTTTTAAAAAAAAAAAAACTACAATTAAACTACAATAATAATAATAATAATAATAATAATAATAATAATAATAATAATAATAATAATAATACACTACTTTTTTCCTTATCATTACAATTTAAAAAAAAAAAAAAATTTTTTTTTTTTTTTTGAAATAATCACAATAATAAATTATTTGTTGAATGCATTCGATGAAATTTCAAAAAAAAAAATTTATCACTCACACATACGATTCCACCCCCAGCCCTCATCCCCCCACTGCACAACCCCCCTCCCTTAGAAAAAATCATATTCATCATCATCATCATCATCATCGATACATAGTAAATAATTCAAATAATTGTGATAAAAAAAAAATTGCACAAAATAATTCAGTCATTCATTCACTCATTCATTCATTCATTCATTGAAAATTTTTTTTTTTTTTTAATTTGACAGTTGTGCTCTTTATGTACATATTAATAATAATGATAATAATAATAATAATAATAAGTTTACGGAAATAAAAGTGGAGAAAATCATTGATGATAATAATAATGATAAATGGCAGCAAATTTTTTTTCAAAAAAAAAAAAAAAAAAAAAAAAATTCAAAATATTCCCACCCACGTGACGTGACGACATTTATTTTTTTATTACACATATTACATATTACGTAAATTATTAATTATTGATTTCCCCACCCCCCCCCCTGCCACCGTTTCGCGATACATAAAAACTATTAATAATAATAATGATGATGATGATAAAAATTTTCATTTCGGCCTAACATTTATTTATAGTGTAAAAAAAAAAGTGACCGTTAAAATTAAATTTTTTTTGAAAATAACGACGGTAGTGATAATAATAATAATAATTAAGCGGCAGAGACGTCAGCAAACGTGACAATAATAATAATAATAATAATAATGATAATTATAACGAAAATAAATTCGCGTACGAAAAAAAATATGTATATATAAATATTGTAAGATCTCCTCGATTAATAAAAAAAAAAAAAAAATCGTAAAAATCTTTTATGCATTCATTCATTCATTCATTCATTCATTTCCCATTCATTGTTTTCAAAATTAAATTATTTAACGGATGATTCGATTCTCACGATTAATCGATCGATCGATCAATCGATCAATCACTTACTTCATTCATTTTATTTTTACTTTTCTACCTTATCCCCCATTTACTTATAAGATTATTTACTGTAATAAAAAAAAAAAAAAAAAAATCGATAATTATGATAACGTTCGTGATAACGATGAGGACGACGATGATGATAATAATGATGATGATAATAATGATGATGACCATTTATTTCTCTTTCTCTACTGCACATTTATCAATTAATTAATTTTATTTTCTTCTTATTTTTCTTATCCCAAAACGAATAACAACAAAAGCTCCCATACAAACGATAATGATAATCACGACGATGACGTCAATATTGATGATAATAATAATAATATTAATAGGTTAAAAAAAAAAAAAAAAAAACTGGAATGTTTCACGCGTATGTAAAAATTATTATTATTATTATTTTCCCCTCACATTTACCACCCATTTCAAAAAAGTTGAGACAGAAAAGAAAAAAAAACGCAAAAATTTAAACGATGATAATGATAATGATAATAATGATAACTTCCCTTTTTCCTATGAGATCATCGTATTATAAAATTTCCGTTAACACATAAATAATTATTTAAAAAAAAACATAGTTGCATACATTCTCATCATCATTATCATCGCCGCTCACTTTTCTTCACCAGCGGAAGAAAAAAAAATTTTTTATTAAAGACACGACGACCACGAGGACTACCACAATAATAATAATAATAATTAAAAAAACCCCGTTTAAAAATTTCACCCCTCGTCTAAAGTACACATACATACGTAAATTCAATGAAATAATAATAATAATAATAATAATAATTACAGAATAGATCTTATCAATGATTCCCCACCCTCTGTACCCCCCCCCCGTCCCTGCCCCCCGTTTATGTATACATAAAATAATAATAAAAATAATTTTAAAAAAAAATTTCTTCGATGTATTATTATTATTATTCTTTTTCCAATTTACTCCCCCCCCTCTCTCTCTCTCTCCCTTATCACTCACATTTAAATATTTAAATAATAATAATAATATTAATAAAAACGCGCCAAAAATATCATTTTCTTTTTTTTTTTGAATTTTTTTTTAAAAAGAAAATCATCATCATCATCATTATCATCAATATTACTACTACTACTACAACAACTATCAATCGTTCATTATTACTAATTGAATCATCATCATCATCATCATCATCATCATCGTCATCATTATTGTTATCTTATACTTAAAACTATTATTGTTATAATTATCATTATCATTATCATTATTATTATTATGATTTCGGCTCCATAATATCGCGATGAGTTAAAAGAACAAAAAAAAAACGTATCAAAGGATTAACAAACAAACAAAAAAAAAAAAAAAAAAAAAAAAAAAAAAAAAAAAAAAAAAAAAAATAATAATAATAATAATAAAAATGTGAGATTTTACCATGACGTGCGTAAGTGTAAGTGTGTGTGAGATACGATGACGTACGTGTTTTAACGTCACGTGGTACGTGACGTTCGACGAAGCGACAAAAAAAAAAAATCGATACAATTAATGTAAAATAAAATAAAAATAAAATAGTAAGAAAACGAAAAAAAAAAAAAAAAAAATCACTTTTTGAAAAATGGCGCCATTTCCCCCCCTCCCCCCTTTCATCATAATTGTTCGCGGCATTTACAAAAAAAAAAAAAAAAAAAGAAAAAAAGAAAAAAAAATTGACTGAAACTGATAACTGACACGTAAATGACACTGACGGCGGCAAAATTGACTCTACTATAGAAGAAGAAAATGGTCGTCGGGAGAGAGAGAGAGAGAAAAAAAAACCTTAAAAGAAGAAACTAGTGAGAGAGAGAGAGAGAGAGAGAAAACATTTGACGTGACCAACGACCTTTTAAAAAGAGAAAAAAACAGAGAGAGAGAGAGAGAGAGAGAGAGAGAGATAAAGAAACTATTCACGAATTTAACTGTAGTCAAGATACAAATTTTCTTTTTCTTTTCGCTGTCGTGACTTTTTTTTTTTTGTCTGTAAATTTTAAATTCTTAAAGCTAAAGAGAGAGAGAGAGAGAGAGAGAGAAATCTAATCAAGACGTTGTCATACGTTGATGAATTAACTTTCTTTCTTTCTGTCTTTCTTTTTTTCCTTTTTCTTTTCCTTTTCTTATTTAAGAGATCCTGACATCTTGAAGATGCTACCTTCTGGTTATTAAACCGTTCGTGGTACTAGGCACCGTTGGACACATTTCCAATTCGACTAACAAAGGAAAGTGATCTGCAAGAGAGAGAGAGAGAGAGAAAAATTTCATTTTCACACGCATCGGTATTAGTAGTATACCTGATTCATTTGTCAAAAAGATTAACGAATGCGTACCTGATGGTACGTGCGGATGAGGACATCCGACGACTTTGTTTTCTTTCAGCCAATCGGCGTTGACGGGTCCCAAAAGGCCCAACGGCGTCATGCTTTGCTTCGAATAAAATATATAATCTATAATGCCTTTGAATTCAAATCTGAAATGAATGAAGAAGTAGAAAAGGTGAAGCTGAGTAAGCAGACGACGACGACGATGACGTCAACAACAACTCACGTGTAATTAGTGAACGGCATTATGTCTTCGCTGTACGCGGACGCGAGCTTGAAGGAATGTGTGAATTCGTTTGGTTTTTCACAACCGGATATCTTTTGCAAAACCGACTTGTACTGTAATTCTTTGAAATCCGGATGATCCGCCGACACTCTTCCCGACGAGAGAAATTCAATGACACCCGAATCGGGGAGGGAATTGAAATCTCCGCACAGCAAAAGTTGTACGCAATTCGTTTCCGGTTTGTGACCGGGACGAAAATTGTGACTCGCTTCTTCCAAAATGCTTTTCAATTCGTACGATAACATCATCGTTTGTATTAATTTGACATCACAGAATTCTGGGTCCCAGTGTATGTGAGCCGTGCACACCAATATGGGTTGATTTATTTGATTCGGATCAGGTGGCAACCCTGTAAAATAAACACACACACATGAAAAATTTCATTTATGATGATGATGATGATGATGATTTCATTTCATTCAAATTAATAAAAAGTTTGTTAAACTTTCCACCAGCTAAAAGAAAAAAAAGAAAAATGTAAAATTTGGTAACGAAAGCAGTAAAAATAATAATAATAAGATTGATGACATTTTTTATTCGACATCATTTTTATTATTTTTTATTGATGATTATTTATCTACATATTAATTAACATGATAATTTTGTATGATAGCACTTTTCCGAGTTAATTCAATCAATCGATTTGATTACAACAAACTAGAGTAAAAAAAAACATGTGAAGTGAGCATGTTCGATTGTGTTTTGGGTGTGAAGTACATCAGTTCACTCGAATAAGTTTCACTGTTAAAACATCACTATGAGAATGAAAACACTGTATAATAGTATGCAAGGATAAGCTATTAAAGGTCTTTGAGAACAATCTGATGCCATTAAAGCCATGAACAATCTTGATGCTGACAAACTGCACCAAGACACTCCAACGATGCTCAATATGATTCCCACAAGACTGGTCATCGTTAGAAAAATTGACAGCGTCGACAAGCCAACGATGGGAAGCAAACAGTAGCCTAGTATGGAAGCCACGGACGTGAGAGTGACCGTTCCGCTCGTGTTCATGAGAGACAACAGAAAATACATGAGAAGGCAACCGGTGACGACGAGACCGTACAAATATCCGAAATTGGCTTTCCCACCGGAAACGACGAGGGTTGCACCCAGAGTCAAGCAAAATGCCAAAGGACCCGCCAAATCCGTGTCCTTCGTTAGAAAATTAACGTCGTCTACCAATCCCTGTTTGTGAAACGGATTCAAAACGGCGAACGTTTTTTGCATTATCCTGTCCGGATCTATACCCAATTCTTCGAGTAACGGTGGTTCGTCGTCGAATTCGTTGAATCCGGTCGTTTTGAATTCTCCCTGAACGCCGTAACCCTCGCCCGTGTAATAATTCGCCTGCCACGAATCGTTGGGTACGTTTTCATATTGACTAGTATCTTGAAAATTCAATTCCGAATGAAATCCGACATTCGGATCCGGCGATGGATAATTATAATTATTATACTGAGATTGATTTGCCCAGTATTCTTCTTTCGTTTGATAACCCGCCATCTTTGTAAGGATACGGTAACGATAACTTTTCCTTTAAAACATTTATAAAATCTCAAAAAAAAATCACTCGACTATCACTAAACATAATCAAAATAAATATGGCGACGACGTGTGAACAACAACACGGAAATGACGTCGTCAATTTACCAACACCACTAGCGCGCGTAGCGACGAAAAAAATAACTTTTATTAAATACACCACAAGATGTCGCTCGCTCCGTGGCGCGCACATTAAATTAAAGTCCCCCAAAAAAAAAAAAAAAAAATTTTTTTAAAAACTTTGTCGAATTCATTAAACTTTTGTTTTTTTTTTGGGGGGGGGGAGTTTGTAAAAAAAAAAAAAAAAAGGTTTAAACTCACCATTGTCCCAAGCGGCTTCTTTAGTTTTCAACAAAGCTGCCAATCCAATGTTATCCTTTGGCATAACTCGATTCAACATGTGATCCGATCCTTCAGAATTCGCCATAGCAAGTTGATTAAATTCGACTAAGTGATTTTTAGTTAACGAAAATCTATCGAAAGAAAAATAAAATAAAAAATTTTGTAAGAATTAAAATATTTCGAACACCCAAAAAAAAAAAAAACAAAAACAAAAACAAAAATGGCGGCAAATTTAAAGTCCAATCAACTCGAATCCTTTCGCCCTTCAAAAAAAAAAAAAAGGAAAAAAAAATTTAAATATTTCGAATCGAATGCGAAATTACCCATCATTATTATTATCATTATCATTATCATTATAGTTAGTGCAAAAAAAATAGTCACTTATTTATTGATTTATTAAATTCTGCTTTCGATGTACGACGAGATTCGAACGAATTCGTACAAATTCGATACCTTTAAAAAAAAAAAAAAAAAATTTTTGGTACACGGCCACAATTATTCGAATGTTTCGCTAGATATTTTGCCCGTTCACGTATTTCATTAAAAAAAAAAAAAATAAAACAAAAATATTTGGCAATCCGCACCACCAGGACCGGATGTAGGGAACGAAAAAAAAAAAAAAATGGCGAATACGTGACAAAGTATTATGGCAAATCCATAATAATTTTCTTTTTTTTTTTTTTTTTTTTTTGCACAGAATGATACTCGCACACGCACACGCACACACACACACACGCATAAATACCACATTACACGCGCTCCTCGTTCAGAGATGAAGAGGAGGAAAAAAGAAAAAAAAAGAGGAAAAAAAAACTTACTTTGCGGTTCTGTAAAAAATGGCGCAGCCATCGACAAATTTCCTGTCATTTTCAGACATTGTTTTGGCTCTGGATTTCGGTGAGAAAATTCCATCGTAGCCGTCTCTTTTCAATTCGGGTAAAAAGAAATTATAAAACTGATCTGTTTCTACTTCCTGTTTCCGAGAAAAACAAAAAAAAAAAAAAAAAAAAAATTATCGAAAATCAAAATTTCTTCGTGCCACGTCAAAAACAAACAAAAGCACAAAAGTGCTTCTCTCTCTCTTTCTGACTATTTGTAAATTTGTTTCTATCTCTCTCTTTTCATTCCAAAAAATTAATTTCAATTAAAGATGTAAGGAATCGACAGAATTTCGGGAATTTCCCATTCAAAATTTTCCTTTACATCATCATCATCATCATCATCATCATCATCATCATCATCATCATCACCATCAACATCTCTTCCTCCCCTTCCTCCCCTTTCTCCCATCCCCCCCTTCGTTCCCCCTCGTCTTTTTTTCTCCATAGAGTAATTAAAACGCATTTTTCGTTTCGCGACGAGAAAAAAAAAAAAGTAGGATATGTAGGATTTTCTTTATTTGTATCAATATTATTATTATTATTATTTTTATTATTAATATCAATGTCAACACACCTGTCTGTTCCGGATGACCTCAGTTTTCTTTAAAAAAAAATAAAAAATAAAAAATAAAATAAAAACAACAAAAAAAAAACCAACATCCACAGCCATCTTTGACTACCACCATATTTACGAGAGATATGACGTCATCAAATTATATTTTCTTTTTTTCGCGTATTTTAAACGTTATTGAAATTATTTATTCAAGGTCAAATTAAACCTTTTCCATTAATTAAATTCTCATTTTCTTTCTTTTTTTCCTTTTTGTCAAGAACAAACAAACGAAATTGTGTCGTTCGAGAAAATTCGCACGAGGGGAAGAGACAGAGAGAGGGGTGGTAACACCCCGTAAGACGAAATCATTATCATCATCGTCATTATTATTATCATCACTTTATCATTTATGACATTTTATAAAATAGCAAAAAAAAAAAAATTTAAAGTTAAATCAAACATTTCGATAAGTTTTCTCTCTCTCTCTCTCTATTTCTCCAGACAATTCGGAGTTTTAGAAAAGAGAGAGAGAGAGGGAGAGAGAGAAAACCTCCTCCGGCAAATTTGGCAATTCGAACCATAAACAAACGCACACACAAACAAAAAAAAAGAAGAAACAATTATAAAAAAAAAAAAATCGTGATAAGTATAGGTTTTAAATTAAAAAGAGAGAGAGAGAGGGAGAGAGAGAGAGAAAAAAGCACAAGCCGCATACAGGCACGTTTCGCCATTAATTCAATAATTATTTATTATTATTATTATTATTTTTTTTTTTTCTTGAAATCCAATCAATAAAACGTTATCGATCGATCTATTATATTATTTGTTAAATCAGTTTATAATAAAGTTTTATTTAGTTGCTCAATTAAAAATAATAATAATAATAATATTAATAATAATATTAATAATAATAATATTAATAATAATAATAACGATAATAATGATTATGGTAATACTCAAAGCTAAAACTACCCTCTCCCCCCCAGCCTGATTCGACTAAAGCGTGCGGTTGGGAAAAAAAAAACAAACATTCCAACTTTAACGTGTCACCAGAAAAAAAATAGTAATGATAATAATAATAATAAAATCGCAAAAATAGATTTTCTGGAAAGAAAAAAAAAGAGAGAGAGAGAGATGAAGAGAGAAAGAGAAACAACTTGTCTTTTTTCGTTTCGCACCCAAAACGAGCTAGCTGGATCACCTTGTCGCGAAGAGAGAGAGAGAGAGAGAGAGAGAGAGAGAGAGACATAATGTTATTTATGACGACGACGATGATAATGATAATAAATTCAAACCAATTTAATTAATTAAAAGAAGAGTCAACGGGGAGGGAGAGGGGGGAATGAGTCGGCACCGAAACACCGACACAGGAGGAATGGGATCGAACCATCAGGAAGGTAACGAATGATGATAAGAGTACGATTGAGTGACCTTTCGTGGTTTTTCTTTTTCTCTTTCCCCTTCACCCCCTCCCTACCTACCTGTAAACTAATAATATCGGCAGCATAATGTCTTATTTCTTCCAAAATTCCCTTTTTCCTGTATTCCCAATCGAGTGCCCAACTCGGACAGTATCCGTACATTTGCCTCGTCGCGTATTTGTCGCAGAGAACGTTGTAACACATCACTGTGAAAATACCTGAAAAACAAAAAAAAACAACAATAATAATAATGATAATCTCTCTCTCTCTTTCTCCACAGCCACGTGTCTCCCCAGCAGCAGACACGGGGGGAGAGAAAAAAAAAGACAAAACAAACAAACAAAACAAAAATTATTCATTTGTTTATTTATTTATTCAACCATTCATTCATTCATTCATTCATTCAATCACTCTCTTGAAAAAAAAACAAACGTTCGTAATTTGAATAATGATATTATTCGTAATTTGAATAATTCCGCGTGGAAATAATAATAATAATAATAATAAATAAATAAATAAATAAAATCGTCGTTTTCTTTCTGAGGGGGGAAAGGGAAGAAAGGGGAGGGGGAAATAACATGACTCGATCGCGTTCGATACATCTCGTTCGATCCTTCGATCTATCGAATTTTTTTTTTTTATTCGGTTTCACAACAAACAAACAAATCCTAATAATTACGATTTGAATTTTTTTTTATTTCGATGGAGGATCGACAGGTACGAATTCGTTAAAAAAAAACCAGTCGCCGGGGGGGGGGAATTATTTTCGGGGTGAATCGATCTATCGATCGATCGATCGATTTTTACCCTACGGTCATTTATTATTATTATTATTATTGTCGTTATCATCGTCATTATTAAAATGATGGTTTCACATATCATCAATCATTCCCCGACCTAATGCGATACCTGAACAAAATCAAATTATTATTATTATTATTATTAAGGTTCGAGATTTTTTTTGCGTCGTCTTCTGCTTTTTTTTTTCTTTACTCGTTCTTCTTATCATACGTTTTCCCCGTTTCGAAACGATTTTCATTTAAATTCGAATCGACAATTTCCGGAAGTAGATTGAAAACAAAAAAAAAAAAAAAATTATACAAATCGATGTATATATATATATATATATAATTTTTCCATCGGAAAATTTTCCACCGTAAATCCTTATATAAGAAATAATAATAATGATGATGACGATGATAATGATAATAATTATAATAATAATAATGATAACAATAATAATAATAATATATATAAAAACGTAATTATTACGAAATCGCGGACGGATGCTGCACGTCGCATTGCGTTGCGTTGCGTTGCGTTGCGCTGCGCTGCGTTGCGTTACGTTACGCGATAATAATAATATTAATGATAATAATAATGATAATGATGATAATAATAATAATAATACAAATTTTAAACTCATTTCACGTACACAACACACACAAACACAGGCACACCGTTGTGCGTTGACCAATCGTTGTTAACAAATCCTTTTTTACCCGATTACGACAATGATTTAAAGAACAATAATAATAATAATAATGTGAGGAACAACGACAATTAAAATACAACGTTTAATAATAATAATGATAATGATAATAATGATAGTGATGAGAGAGATTCAAAAAACTTTGGCAGTGTAAAATAAAACATTCGAAATCGTTTTAATGCCACGTTTGATTATCACAAACGAAACACGGTGAGTGCGTAACAACACTCCTGTGACGTCATTTTTCTCTTCTTTTCCAGACATTTAAAAAAAAAAAAAAAAAAAGAACAGGACTCCGCGTCATTTGCATAAATAAATAAATAACGAAAATAAATTTTTGATCAAAGTAATTATTTATAATAAAATATTAGACGCATAAACAACATAAACAACTTGTTTTTATTATTGTTGTAACCTCTTCTTCTTCTTCCAAAAACGGAAACGAACGAACAAACAAATAAATAAACAAACAAACAAACAACTCGAACTCGACTTCTGTGCTCTCTCAAAGTCATAATTCTTTTTTTTCTCTTTTTTTAAAACTTTTTCGGGTTGTTATTGTCGGTTTTTGTTTTTAAAACAAAATACGTCGTTTGTCTTCTCGCCAAAATACGATGAACGACAGGATTCGAAGATCGTGGGTGGTGGGGAAGGGGAGGCGAGAGAGGAAGAGGGAGAGAGAAGGGGACAAAGAGGGGGATGTGTAGATGACACGTGTTGACATCGAGCCAAAAATGACAAAACAAATCACCTGTAGTATACCTGTCTTCGTTGCCGTCTCGTACCTTATTATATTCCTTTTATTTATTTATTTATTTATTTCCGGTTTGGGGGAGGGGAAAACAATAAAACAAAAAAAATTTAATAGCAGACGACATTAACGAATAGCAGACGACAAAAAAAAAAAATCTTTACTTTTCTTACGCATTAGCTAGGAATCATAAATCATTTCGCGACACGATCATAGGGGACAGAAGAAGGGAAATCTCTCGTCTGCAACCACGTGAACTTCCTACCCGGATCCTATCCCCGAAAACTTTTAATAAAAAAAAAAAAATTATTATTATTATTATTTTCTACTTACACGTCGGTCTCGTTCTATTTGGTCTTGTCAATGGAATCCACGGTCTTTGTGGCGGATGGTTGGCCGTAACTGAAAAAAAAAGAAAAAAAAAACAATCAGTAATAATAATAATAATATCATTTGAAAAATCATATTAGAAAAAAAAAACACGTGGCAGGAGAAAATCCGTTCCTTTTGAAAGAGAAAGAGAAAGAAAGAAGAGAAAAACTAATGAAAATGAAACCTGGAAATAAAAACAAAATTAAACAAAAACACAAAAATAATAATAATAACAATAATAATAATGATGACGACGACGATGATGATGATGATAAAAATCGTGAAAGTTTTCATTTTTTATTATACATCATAGTTGCCAGAAGTTTTGTTTTGTTTTGTTTTTTTTTTTTTTTTTTTTTTTGTTTTTTTAAATGATGACAAAATTTTAACGAGTCACGTTTGTCATTGTCATAAAATGATTTATCCGTTGAAATCAGTCGTTAGTTAACTTGCCACAACAACAACAACAACGACGACGACGACACAAACAACAACAACAACAACAACAAAAAGTTATTCTTCTCATAAACCGCGTTCGTAACAACTATAACTACTACTACCCATCCTCCTCCTCCTCTTCCTCATTCATAACCACCGTTTTTACTTTTTCTTCTTTTTATTTTCATTCACAACAAAGTGATTCATTTTTTTTTTTTTTCTATTGCCACGTTCGAAAAAAATTTTGTTTTTTTTGGGAAAACGAAAAACCTTAGTCACGGTTATATATTAAGCAATTTCTATTATCAGACGTTTGCATTGTTGTTAAAATAATAATAATGATGATAATAATGAGCTTTACCTACATTTTAAACAAACATATTAAAATTCCTTTTCTCTCTTTCTCTCTCCCCCTCTTTCTCTTTTTTTTTTTTTTTTTTTTTGGTAACATCTCTCATTCTATCACCTTTCGATTCTCACACTCTCCCACGTGTTGGTGGTACCTGGAAATCCATTTCCCGATTTTTCTTTCTTTCTCATTTGTTTGTTCGTTTGTGTTTGTACAAAACACAAACTACTCAGTTTGTACAAAACTCCGCGTACTCCGATTAATATTTTTTTTTTTTTTTTGTTATCCTCATCATTCATAAACGTTGCCCAACTTTTTTTTTTTTTCGTGTAATCAGATTATTTTCATCAACGGTTGGTTTTTCTTTCGCAATTTCTATAATTACGTTTGTGCTCCTCTTGCTTACTTTTTTATAAAGAAATCTGTCATCGCAGCCGTGACAAAAGATTAAAAATTTCGAAAGGTTTTTTTTTTTTTTTTTTTGGTTAATCGCACGTTTCAAAATCGTTTCGAAAAATGAACTCATTGCTGTGATTGCGGTCGAATTTTTTTTTTTTTTCCGTTTGCTTGCTTGTTTGTTTGTTTGTTTATATGTGTCGATGTTGCGATAACTACGACGACAAGATAAAAAGAGAAAGAGAGAGATAGAGAGAGAGAAAACGCAACAAATTTTCATAAGGACCATAATCAACCTAATCAATCATTTTTTTTTCCATTTCGCAGTTTAGAATCAAACCACGTGGAAAAAAACGGATTTAAAAAAATTGTCGATGCTGCCACGACACACGCGCGTCCTCACTGCTACCACTACCATCGTCAACGCCGTTACTTTCACTTACAAAACACAACAAAACGATGACAAAACAATGTTCATAACAAAAAAAAAATGTTTCATTCAAGGCCGGTCAAAGAATGTATGGATTTTAAATTATTATTATTATTATCATTATCATTATTATTATTATTACTATTATTACTGTTAATTAACTAGAAAAAGAAAGAAAACAAACGAGCGAAACAAACAAACAAACAAACGAACAAACAAATTAACGTATCGCAAAGAAATTGAAAAAAGACGAGAAAGAATTTCCGGATCCGGCGCGGTAATAAAAAAAATTTCACGTAGTATTTGTTACGGGTACGTTCACCATTTTGAATGACGGGTCCCCCCCCCCCGCTTTTTCTATTTATTACTTCGTTTCCCTTTTAACCCGAAGGAAAGAGAATTGAAAACAAAACAAAAAATAATGGCATAAACGGAAAACAAAAAAAAAAATTCCCCTCCCCCCTGTCTTGTCTCTTCAACTTGTCAATCACTAATAATAATAATGATAATAATAATAATTTATTTCTTTTGACGTTTGAATAAATAAATAATAATGATGATGATGATAATGATAAAACGAAACGCGTAAGTCCGGTATATGATTTTATTGTACGTTGCCGTCGTTTTCCACCGTTCGTGGAGGAAAACGGGGGGAGTAGAGGGTAGGAGGGGAGGGAAGAAGAAGAAAGAGGGGAGGGAAGAACAAACGAAAAACAAGAAAACTGGTCTGCTAATATTTTCCTCCTCGTGAATATCAATCAATTGATTGGGGGAGAAAAAAAAAATTTTCCACGATGAAAACATTCGAGAATGTTAAAAGAGAGAGACAGAGAAAAAAAGAGAGACAGTAGAGAGAGAGAGAGAGAGAGAGAGTGAGAGAGAGGGGAGATCCTTCTCTTTCTATGTGGTAAAAAAGGAACACGATGATGCAAATGAGACGCACGGAGAGTTTTTCCTCTTCATTTTCCCGGAGGGGCTCTCTCTATCTCTCTCTGTCTTTCTCGATAACCGGAATCCATCGTCGTCCATCTTGAAATTCTGACGACCATCGACGGCCAGAAGAAGGAAAATTTTTTTTTTTTTTTGCGTACACGCTAAAACAGCAATTAACTTGGCACGAACAAAAAAAAAATTGTTGGCGAGCCAAGCTGTCTAAGAAAGCAGACCAATTTAATTCGAGAGACTATATAATTAACGGACTCACTACGAACTGGAATTTTGTTTTCCACAAATAATAATGATAATAATAATAATAATAATAATAATAATAATAATAATAATAATAATAATAATGATAATAAAAGAAAATGATAATGATGATGATGATGATGATAAATTTAAATCGACGGGACAAAAAATTAAAGGAATTTGAGTTCACGAGGAGTCAAGTAAGTTGTTGTTGTTGTAAAACCCTCGAGGCTACATATTTACCTTTTTCCCTCCCCTTCCCTCCCTCTCCTGACAAAATGACAGAAACCAGTAATAGACTAGAAGTGGAAGGAGAGAGGAAGAGAGAGGAAAAGATCCAAAGGAACGACTCGGAAAAAAAAATTGAGAGAGAAAAAAAGAAAACTTTAAATGGTAGTAACCGCAACAACAACAACAAAAAAGAGAGAAGAAGGGGGGGGCGGGGAGGCAGCATATTCAAAAGGCCAAATTTCAAATTCGAAAAAAAAAAAATTTGCATTTGAATCCCTTTGAGCCATTTTTTTTTTTTTTAAACAAACAACGAGGAAGTGAAAATTAATAACGAATATAATTTTTTTCTTTTTTTCAAGGTTTTTAATTAATTAATAACCGATCGATTCAAAATCTAATCGCAAAACAAAAAGCGGGCTACTGTACAAACACCGCGAGCAAACAAACAGGGAAAACAAACACGAGGAATGGCAGACGATGTTTAGAACGATAAAACAAGCAAACCAAAAACTCCAAAAAAAAAAAAAAAAAAAAAACTCCAGAGAGAAAGCCGAATCGAGCTTACGGAGGAACGATTAACAAGAACGATTTCGATACGATTCGATACGATACGATATCATCCCCGATTTCGAGTGGGCGAGACGCCATTTTCTTAGTGAAAGTGTTTTCATCGGAACATGAAAATTTTAAATGTCAAAAAACGAACGACGAACGGGGTGACCTCAAAAATAAATAAATAAATAAATAAAAACTCGTTTGTTGACCTTTGGTCCTCGCTTGTCTTTCTCTCTCTTTCTCTCTCACTCTCTCGTCCCACGCATTTTTTTTTTCCCGTTAAATTGTTCAGTTTCTCAAATCTCACCACCCCCGCCCTTTTCTTTTAACCTTTTTTCTTCCGTTTCATTCGCCTCCTGGAATTCAAATGTTGATAATATATAACCTTCGTAAAACCCAAAACAAACAAACAAACAAACAAACGAAAAATTTAAATCGTTACACGTGATTTATGATAATTTTTCCAGGGTTTTTCTTTTTTCGTCTTTCTTCTGAAACCTACATCACGTGATAAGAAAAGAACAGGAAAGAAAATCGTCAAATACCAAAATCCTTCAAATGTAGGGAGAGGGAGAGGGGGAGGGAGAAGGAAGATGAGTAGGTTCCAGTTCCAGAGGAAAAAGTTTTCCATAAACATTTTCAGTTTTTCTCAATTTTTGTTCGCGCCATTTTTTTTTTTTTTTTTTTCAAATTTCAAAGCCTGAATATCCGAAGAAAAAAAAACGTTCCTAGAGTAAACAATCGTGGAAATAGAAAAAAAAGAAGGTGGTGGGAGGGAAAATAGTCGCCAAATCGATAAATTCCAATCTGCGTCGATTTTCCCTTTTATATCTGCCCCTCTCTCTCTCTCTCTTCTTCCTCCCTCGACTCCCCGCTTCGTGACTCTCCGCGACGCGTATAATAATTTTCTCAATAAAAAAAAGAATAATAATGATGATGATGATGATGATGATAATAATGATAATAATAATAATAAAAACAAATAAAATTACGCATTTTTCCTTTTATATAAATATATTTTATCTAGTCTTTGGTCAAAAACAAAAAAAAAAGTCGAGTCAATGTCAAGTTCAAGGTTTCGCGTTTGTTTTTTTTTTCTTTTGCGACGTAACAACAACAACAACAACAACAAACAAGAACAAACATGTTTAACACATGTGAACTTAAATTATTATTTATTTTCAATTTATTTTTTTTTATTTGTTGCTAGATTCGATCGACATTTGCAAAACAAGAAGAAGAATATTTTTTCATCACCACAAAAAAAAAAGACGTGGCAATAACAATCACCGTCTTTTTTTTTTTTTTTCTTCTTTCTCGAATTGAAATATCACCACGACCACGACGTTTACAAAACTTTTTGCTACCGTTTATTTAAAAATAACGATAATAATAATATTAATTTTTATCGATAGATAAAATCGATGAATTCGATTATCGAATCGATTAATTATGCATTCGCGTTTATAACGGTCGTCGTCGTCGTCGCGTTCAAAAAAAAAAAAAAAAAAAAATAGGAAGAATCACAAAAATCAGTCAATGAACTTTTAAAAAAAAAAAAAAACGACAACAAACAACAACAACAACAACAACTACAACAACTACAACTTACTTAACCGTAACTAATTAACTGTAAAATAAAATGAAAAGAAGAAAGGAAAAAAAAAATTTTTTTCTTTTACGTCATTCAAAAACAAATATTCCGTTTGTAACGTTTGACAAAAAATTTTTGCCATTTTTAAATTTCGACAAACGAAAATGGCGGGAAATTTTCAAACGTGTCGACGACGATGGCTATTACCACCCCTACCACCACCACCCTCGATTTTTCCATATTTTGTTTTACTTATTTTTCGTGGTCCCTCCCTCCGCCATCTTTCATTTTTTTAAAAAGTAGTTTTTCACCTAACAGAGGTTTTCAAACAAACAAACAACAAACACGTCCTGTGATTTTCGAAATCGGTGGTGAAAATGACCAAAAGAAAATTGAAAATCATTTAACTAATTAATAATAATGATAATAATAAACTTTTTCCGTTTAGAAATCAATTACGTTCGATCGAGCTGAAAAATCGGACGTACTAAAAAATTAGCGTGGGACTAACAAAAAAAAAAAAATCGGGTGGGCGGCAAAATAAACGATTTATGTATTTAAAATTGCGTTTTATTAATTACACCAAAATCAGAAGAATAAACGTGGAAATAGAAAAAAAAAAAAAAAAAAAATTGGCGACCTGAGATGTGAGAGAAATGAAAACAACACTCGATAGAAAAGTTCCAAATTTTTCCCTTTTTATTTTTTTTTAAATTTAAATATTTTTTTTTCTTCTTCTGCCACGTTCTTTTTTCCAAACGAACTTAAAGTTTGAAAATTCAGACCTAAAAAGTTTA